CTACATATAAATCCACACACAACCCACAATTCCTCTAATCGCTCCGACGAAGGGCTAACGCTCGAAACGTCAGCTTTTTTACTCTTTACGGTGGCTAATTTACGTTTTCAACCCAGTTGTTAACACTAAATTACCTCCTATATATATATATATGTTTGACCCCAAAGTCGCCATTTTGAATCTTGTTTAGCTACCTTGCCATTTACCTGTAACATGGAAAAAACTTCACCCCTCTTTATCAATCCTCCCGACGATCTGTTTGAATAACTAGGAGCTACACATAAAATTATTCTTGACTCAATTACCAGTTTTTTAAATCAAACAAAACATCAGCTGCTTACGAAAGCGAATATGGTCAGGTTATTTTTTTTTTTTTTAAATGGCGGCGTCAAATGTTGGCATATTTGAGGATAATCTTTTAACTCTTTATGGGTTGCTCTTTGAAAATTGAATAAAGAGAGAGGAGTCATTTGAATTTTCGGTTTTGCGGTTTTGGTTATTATTTAGATCGGTTTTGGTGTTCATTGCGGTTTGGGGATATACCGTTTTAAAGCTTTATTGGTATTCCCAAAAATCACCAGTGGGTTTTCGGATTTGGTATCCGATGTGATTTTCGATTTTTCCTACTTTGGTTCTGGTTCCTCTTCGATCTGAGCGGCAACTATGATTTTGAATAGCCGCGAAACCTCTGCATGCTTCACTTGTCACAGGAATGTGAAAATTTATCGGTTCTGATGGTTGTGCATGTAGTTTTCGGTTGTGAACCAATTTTTTGCGGTTTCGCAGTTTTGGATGATTTTTTCTACGGCCTTGCGAGTTCTAATAGACCCCAATGCCCCCCTCTATTTAGTATCTGGAGTAAATATCCCTTTAAATATAGACGTCTTTATTTGGCACTTATTGTAAGATTCGAGGCATCAGTTATGAGTGATTTTTACGAGCTTCTTCTTCCGTCACCTCCGGAAGTGTAACCTTGAACGTGGGTTCCTGAGCCTCATAGGTCAGCGCTAACGGACCATTGGTAAAACGAACGGCGGTTTTTGGTGACGGGCACCACCATGAAACCACCCAAAAAATTCTTAGACAGAAGTAAAATAATTTCCAAATACCCCTTGAAAACCGTTTAGGACCCTTGCGAACACAGCAGCCATGTACAACATCCTTTGCGTCCTCTGAAAAGAAAAACTCCCAATCTCCATTTCCAGCTTGAATGATAAACTCTTTCCCTGGCTGCGATATAATGAAGGCAGCGTTTGTTAGATCAGCGCACATTTTATTTGCGTTCGAGATGAATGAGATGGCAGCTCGCAGAAATTTTAAGGTTGTCTGGTCATCTTTACTGAGATTTCCATGCTGACCTTCGATTCCGCATCGCTTTACGATCTCTTTTCCGAGAACTATAGATGATATTTTATCAACTCTAAAGATCATGTTGCTTGGGTAATCCTAGAAAGTAAAAAGCGAATAAAAATGCTTTTAGGAGCCTGCAAGATTCTCAGGAAATTCTCACGCCATTTTTTCCCTCAGCTTTCTGTTTGTTCTAATATGCTTGCTCTCATTAATATTTAAAAATCGCTCCAAACTCAAGCTCAAAGTGTGAGCACTTTGAAATGATGTTAAGATCTATTATTAAGCTGTTTGCTTAGTGCTTGGGTCACGTAACAAACCCTTAAATTGTTGGTTTTTACGTCTTCCCAAAGTTTTTCTAAGGCAGGTGGTCCTTCTGGCGAGATCGATTTCGTATAAACAAGTGCAAAATGTGAACATGAAAGAAGAAACATTTCCAGCCCAATCGAGGCAAAATATATTTAAGCTTATCCTAAGAGTGAAGCTGGGATGTGCGGCTCAAGCTTCAAATTTCCTCGACTAATATGATAAACATTCTTGTGTAGTGATAACCGTATGTAAAACACCACCTCTTGGATTATATTAGTCGTAAGTTTGACAACGATGTCATTCAAGTTTTGAGCAAAACATAGGTTTGGTACACACATTAAGCGCAAAAAGGTCAACCATTTCATGGATAACTCAAATCAATTCAAATTCATCGAACGTCTATCAATTTTTTGAACACATGACCTGTCACTCGACAACGTTTCACAGGCCTATTGAATTCCGTTTTACCCAAGAGTATCCTTAGGTTCCCCCAAATTTGAGAGCAACATTTTAGAGGTGAGTTTCAAGTTACTTTTTGATTCTTGACTCTAGGAACCGTTTTCGAAAAAGTTGCGGATTCATTAGCCGTATTCATGGAATACATGTGGACGAAAGGTCAAACCACAGCGAGAAAATTGCGGATCGAAAAATTTCCGGATACGTGTGGACGGCGCCTAAGTCCGTCTGTTAGATTTAATACGAGTCGAATTTACGTAATGTCCATGCAAAATGCGAGCTCTATTCAGTTTTAAATTTGGAAAGTTTTAATCGAATGCGACTCCAGTCTTGACCAGAATTAATGCATGATTCATTTGTTACCACACTTACCCAGATATCCACAGTTGCAGATTCAAGGACATGCGCAATGAAAACGCACGAAAACGAAAGCAGTAGGGCAGTATTCATTAATCGTCACTGCCTAAAATGAGAGTTTATTTATTTATTTTTCTCTCTTTCTCTTTCTTTCTTTCTTCGTACTTTCTCTTCCTTTTTCTTTTTCATTTTGTAAGAGATATTCGGTTTTTGAAGATAAAGAAGCATTTGGTTGGAAAGAAACGATTCACTCGTTTGCCAAGATTGATTTCGGAATATAACAAATCAAATTCATGAGCTGGAGTTGGATACAGACAGACTTAATGAGAAAAAAATCGGGTGCTTTAACTGTAACTTTATCGCGACATTTCTCTTCAACAAAAACAATATTTATGTTGCAAAAGTAAGCCTAGAAAAGTCATTTTCTTGATGCCAAGACGATTTGGTTGAATGTTTTCTCATTTCAACAGAGCCGTCTCTAGTCGAAATATATCCAGAATGCAATGTTTAAAACAAGCTTGAGTCAAAAGTGATCGTAGCAGAAGTCATGTGCATGTGCTTATTCGCACACGCACATTTTGGTAAAAGTTAAGAGTTGAGTTCGTAACAGAGTACTCAGCAGCTACTTGGTGCATTTCTAAAACTAACAAGATGTAGTAATTCAAACCGCGTACGGAATCAAAAATATAACAATACTGGCCCTCAGACCTCTCGCGAGTGTTTTAAAATTGAAGAGCTGAGATATCGCAGTGATTATATCTCGATCGTTTGCGATCGTTGGAGACCCGAACAAGTTTGATTCCTACAATGAACTTGGTATTACACGTATGTCGAGTGTGTTGCCCTTTTTTCGCTTTGCCCCGATGTTTATGCACGATTATTTATAATTTCAGGAGAGAATAAGCCCATATTTTCTTGGAAAAAAGATTGAAATGTTTCGAAAAGAAAAGGCAAGTCTCAGTGAATTCGAACAGATGGAGGTCAAATTTTTGAAAATGGCCATCCATTTCGTTGCACTACTATCTTTGGGATGAGGTCAAATATTTTTCTAAAATCCCCCAACACTTGGGAAACGCACTGTCAATCGTCAATGGAGGTAAATATTTAAAGAACGCCTTGGAAAATCCTTGAACTGTTTAAGTAAGTAGCTGCATACATAAACGGATAAACATTTCTCATTAGCATATGAATACATACTTGTCGCTCTTCTTTAACGTAACCTGACATCATTCTGATGAAATATAGAACATTTCTTGTAGAAATAATTGAACATTAAAACGCACTCAGTTTACCTTAAAATGTCGGAATTTTGAAATTTTCCGGAGGGGAAATGCGTTTCGCAACCCCCTATCCCCTTACCTCCTTTACTGGCAACCATCTTCAGAGGTCACTCAAAAACATTTAAACCAAATCTTGGATTCACCAGTAGATTCACTATGCATCAGTAAAACGTCACATTATGTGTTAGTCATATGCGACAGTAACTTTAACGATTTGCCTTTACATTTTCAGAGTGAAATGCCGTGATCTCGCTTTTAAAGGTGTTGATGTAATAAGTCTTACTTTGCTGATTTTCAGAATTTCGGTTCACAGTTGATATGCTGTAATCTCTTCTTTAAAAGGTCTTATTACAATAGAGTTTGTCTTTTGATCGTCTAAATCCAAGTCTATCATTTTAAGCTCAATCGAAGCAAAATAGATTCTAGTCTATTTTAGGAAAGAATGGAATGACATACAACCTTGACTACAAAACTCCTTGCCTGTAACGATGTGTCCTCTTGCAGTCCGAAAAATTATGTTAAACACGGCCTTTGAAGTCAAGTCAGTCGTAAGTCTGTAACCTGTAAGTCTGACTAAAATGAAAATTTCGTTACCAATGTCATTCTTGAATTGTTATTTCCCATCGTCCTGCTTTATTGCAGCTCGCTCAGGGAAGACACAGATTTACTAAATATTTAGTGGAAGACATTTCACAATCATGCCGCACAAGGCCGAGTGGTTTTTAAGCATAGAGCCGAGTAAATTGTTCGCTTTATCTATCGTTCGTTCGTTGCTGGGAATTTTCCCTAATAGAGAACCCGATATGGATTGATGGATACTATATGTTCCTTGCATAGAAGGGAAACCCCCTTGACAATGAGTCATCTTTTGTCCTTTGTTTCATTGGAGAATCCGCATTAGGGAAAAAGCCCGAGAGATGCAGGCACTGGAAGGCTGCTGTTTATGTTTCTTGATAGTTGCACCAAAAGCTTTATATAGGAATTCTTACAGAAATTAATTTTAAGTTATGCGCTTTCCAAACGCCTCGGAAAATATTTCATTAGCAGATCTCTTTTTTCAAAATAAATTCATCACATGCTGGGAATTTTCCCTTACACTTGAACTTTGACATTTTCTGTCTTCTTTGCGTGGTTGAAAATGCCACATGACAATGAGTCATCAAAACAAAATTTTCCATGGCCAATCAAAATTGAAAGCAATCATGAGGGGGAAAAACCTTGATAACCTCAAAAGAGACAAAAACACTAGCTGCCTCAGTAGTGTTACGGTTGTCTGACTTGACTCCACAATCTGCAGACAGCTTCTCCCATCACAAAATTGTGATTCTCGCAAGGATTTGGCCGAGCTATTTGTAATGAGTTAGTTCGACACGATTATGGGAAATTTCATTGGCAACGCTAGAATATTACCAGTAAGTATAACTCCGTCTTTGGCTCCGATTAGGAGATCAACCTGTAAATAATCTATCGATGAAACTCAAAGAAATTTGTCCCTTTCGAATTTGACTTGGTCAACACGAGTTTTGATATTAATCTGTTGTCAATACCTTCCTGAAAGTGAAGGGAAGTTTTCCGTTTTACCGAGTTCACGCACTCAACATCACGCGCGATCGATGCCAGATCCTTCAATTTAACTTGAATTCGTTACTGATCGAGATTTCCAAGCGGAGCTCGGCAATCCCTCGACAGAATACCACGGGAAAAGACGCATTTTATATAAAAACGAGCAAGTAGCTGGGAACTTGAAAAAATAATTGGAGAACTAGTTCAGAATTTTAACGTTAGACCTTCTTACGGTGCCTTCACCCTTTAACTCCCAAGATCTCATTAGTAATTTTCCTTACTGTCTCCCAAACGATTCTCATTATGTTAGTTTAGAGAATTTGGTATCGAATCAATTTGTAATCATTCAATACATTCTCGTCACTTTTCTGCATGATACTGTATGGATATAGTAAGGAGAAATTATGTCTTGGTCACTCACGGGAGTTAAAGGGTTAACAACGGAGCTGCGTTACAAGCCAGTCCAGCATACTTATACGATCGGTAATCCGTACTAGCTTGAATATTCGTCGGAAACGTTCCAACGTTCCAGCGTTCCAAGGGGGGGGAGGGGGGGAAGGGGATGGGAGAGTTTCTAAGAACCTTACTGAGGGGAGTGGGAGCGCTCGCTTCCTCACATGTAGTTGCGGCCTGAGTTCTACCCTCGATTCTGTCGATACATGTGGGTTGATTTGGTTGCTGGTTTTTTCCTTTTGCTCTCATCAACTTTCTCCTAATATTGATAACATCAATGTCATTTTTAGCATTATTCAGAAGACCTAAGAATTCATGTGAAGAAAATAACTTCGATTCCTCTTGGAGATGAGGTCGAAAAAATACGCAACAAAGGACGTCTCAGTGAACACGACCGTGCAAGTATCAAATTCCTAAAAGCGGCCATCCATTTCATACCTATGGCAAAAGAAGATGGAGCTGATTTTGAAAATGCCGCTTTCATACTTACCCACCCAGGCAGGCAGTTTGTTGTTATAGCAGGAAAGGGTGACTGGGAGTATTACTTTTCCGAGGATAAAATCGGCGACATAACCGGTCGATGTGTCCGCAGACCCTGGCTGATGTACCTCTGGAACAAAGTCACATCTAGTTTTTCTCGCATCGCCACGTTGTTGTCTGTTGCTGGTCTAATCCTCAAGGCCTTAATGCCTGCTCAAGAGTGATCCTTTAGAACTAAATATCAGCGTTTTGTCTCATTTGGTCGTGCATTTTAGAGCGCAAAACATTCTAGCTAAGGGTACCGGTTTAGTTAATTTCTTTGCGATACACAGAACGGAAGTTGCCTTCTTAGTTCCCGCCGGATTGCTATGTTCTGAAAGCCGCTCTTGTAGATTAAATTGTTAAGTACTGATAAGTAAATGCAGGGAGATTTTGGACGCGACCTCGCTTTGAAAAGGCCTCAATGGAAAAAGAGAGTGTTGTGAAGTGTTGTTACGATTCGAGGTTATTCAAAGGTTAACATTCAAAGATTGTGTTAGTCTTACCCCTTTGGGATAGTTTTCCGTGTTGTCTTTCTCCTCTAGTTGTGCAATTACTCGAACATGAAATTTTGTTTCTGGACTGGTCGTGTTGAGTACTTGACTTTATTTTGAGTTTTTAAAAATTCCAATCATTGTGTGAGTCTTATCAGATTCAGAAATCCGGAAGGTTGAACTCGTAATTTTTTCGTTAAATATAGTTTGTGCTGACTATTTTTGAGACTTGTTTCTCGAAAAATGGCGTTCGTCGGTGGTCATGTTTGGATGTCCTTAGTGGACTTGTATAAAAAAATACATTTGACCGGTTTGAACAAGAGATTTAACTCTGCAAAGACAGTCAGCTCATTACCCACACTCCCACCAATAGGGTACTTAAGAGCGTGCACTAGAGCGAGTTAAAGAGAGACAAGTTAGTTAGGCATAGAAAGTAAAATAAAGTAGAAGAGAACTAAGAGTATTGTTGCCTCTTGCTTATGTGGGTCTTCTCAAAAGCTAGTTTTCCCTGTCATTGCATCTTTACAGAAGGTTATACAATGGACAACTGACGAAGTTACTCAGACACCCAACTACGAGAATGTTGCCAAAGTCGAAATAAAAATGAAGAAAGTTTTGAAACAAAAAAGTGAGACGTAAACATAATTTTACATTGTTTACGCTAATTTATTTGATTATTCATCGCGAGAAATGTATCGAAAATCCCTGCATTCAATGATGTATGGCTCTAACATTTTTCTTACTTAACCCTTTAACTCCCATGAGTGACCAAGACAGAATTTCTCCTTAACAATCAATGCAATATCAAACAGTAGAGTGATGAGAAAAGAAATGTATCAGCTAGGAGATTATTAGTTGATCCAATACCAAATTCTCAGCGCTAACATCATAAGAATTGTATGGCAGACAGCAAGGAGAGGGAAACACTGAAGTACTGAGGAATTCCAAACAAA